AAAAAAAAAAAAAAAAAAAAAAAAAAAACACATCATAGTAAAACCAATACCTTCTCAGCTTCGCATCGAAGCTAAAATTACCTTCATCAATTTTATTCAATTCTACAATAAAAATTTGAATGTTATTAATTGCTTAGAATAAGACGTTTTTCTTACTATTTTTTTTTAATTGATTAACATACCTTCCTTATTTTTGTCCAAAGCTATAGAAATACCATAAAATTATATTATTATAAATACTTAAATTGTATTTCTAACGCATTAACTAAAATTTGTTATATAGTTATAAATTAAAAATATGTACAAAATAACTTAAATTCATGAGGTGAACAGTGTGTTAAGTAAATAAGGAATCAGGCAAATTGTTACAAACAATGAGGACAATAGAAATACGTTTTCTTTCTATTATTTAAATGCTTAGAGTAAGAGTATTATTTCTTAACATATTGTATTTAGTTATTTTCAAAATTTTGTTTAAATTGATCTAATAACGTCATTTTAATTAAATTTTATGTAAAATACGAAAATATTAATTAAACGTTTAATTACAATTATTTCTTAAATGAATTCACTTCGATTGATATTACTTTATTTCATCATTTAAATAAATAATTTTATCTAAATAAATTAATTCTGTATTAAAATCGTAAATAATATTTAATCTCTGAATAAAGTAGTTTTCAAAAATAACTGTATTGTATTCATTAATAAATAAAAAACTTACCTTTATCAATTTTATTAAATTCTATAATTTTATTATTGTATAATGTTATTAAAGTGATTAGAATAAAACGTTTTTCTTACTTTTTTTTAAATTTATTAACATACCTTCCTTATTTTTCTCCAACACTATAGAAATACGATAAAATTATATTATTTTAACTATACATAATTTGTATTTAAGCTTAAATTGTATTTCTTATGAATTAACTAAAATTTGTCTTATAGTTATAAATATAAGACAAATTTTTATAAAAAGGAGTTTAAATTTTAAAATTATGCTAATTGCAGTATATATATTGGTCTTATCGATAATTTTATTTTATTTATGATACTTACTTATAATCCAAAAACAATAGATTTTTTTTGGTCTTGGATTTTATTATATAAATGTTATGGCTCAAAAGTTATGCAATAATTACTCGTGCTGCCCAACAGACCCAAAAAGTCATGAATAGTTTGGTGGGACTCTTGGCCAATCTGAGAGGGCCGAGGGAGTTGGAGCGGACACTATTAGTCAGCATCGTACACTCGGTTCTCCTATATAAGTTCCCGGTTTGGGCGGATACTCTTGAATATTCGTCCAAAAACCATGAAGTCCTGCTTAGGGTGCAGAGACGGGCGACGAAACGGACAGTTTCGGCGTACCGAACAGTGACCGGAGTCATTTTAATTAAATTTTACGTGAAATACGTAAATAATAATTAATAAAAGGAGTGTTTAGAATTGAAAAATATCATAGATATTGGTCTTATCGATCATTTTATTTTATTTATTATATTTACTAATAATCAAATGCTTATAAAAAAATACTTCTTTTTTTCATAGCGTTTATAATATAAATATTATAGCTCGAAAATAACATTTTAATTAGTTATTGGGATATTAAGGGGCAGTATGAACTATTTAAATAAAAAAATGTTATATAGTACAACAAAGAGTAAGATGACATATCAAAACTTGGTATGTAATAAGCACAACCTGTGTTGAATGATGAGGTATAACAATCAGTCAAATTTAAACGAAAGTTGGGAAAGTTTTTAAAGTGTATTAAAAAATTGTATAGGACGAAGACAAGAAGTCAGGAAATCAGTTAGAACATTAGTAGCAGGATTGAGGATTAAAATCTCATAAGGGCATTCATAAATAGGAAGTACCCAACCTAACTGCGTGATTCATCGCATTCGAATATTTGTCTTATCGGGATAATTAGAGATAATTGAGAACATTTATTTATGTAAAATATCCAAATAATACTTTCATTGTAGGTTTTTTAGTAATAAACAATTAGAGTGAGATAGGTCGTAAAAAATTAACAGACTAAAATAATTGCATAAAAATACGGTTTTTTCAACACAAATGCTATAATTGATTTAAGCCACTTACGTTGGCATATGAATTCAGAAGAGAATAGAAAAAATCTGTAATCAATCATTAGACGACTAATAGAATTAATAATTAATTAGAGGGAGGAGGGATGAGATTCCCACATTGTCTCAGTAATACAACAAAGGAAATTAGTTCAGTGTGATACAAAGGAAAAATAGAACTCGCAATAAGGAATCCTTATTAACTTGGGTTCTAAGTTAAGTCCTAGGGAAGTGGCCATATTAGAGGGGGATATTAATTGATCATCTAGAGTGACACGAGATATAGAGATTGGTATATATTTTTTTCTTTTGGTTGAAACTTTTCATGTTTTAGAGTACGAGTTATAAACACTTATAGGTATTTGTTTTGGTGGATAATTTTATTTATTTTATTTTATTATGATACTCACTGATAATAGAAGAACCTAATTCCAAGATAAAACAATAGTTAAATTTGTTATTAATATCATCAATTTCATTGAAAATGAAAAGTAAATTATTTTATTTTCAAAAATTCAAAATAGCTATTCTTTAGCATTTTTCTTGTAAAAAAAAAGTTGATGGGTTTTAATGAACTTTCTTAATACATTGTGTAGGTCTGAAGTGAGCAGCGATATACGTATCTCCATCCCACTATCCTATCCGTTTTATTTATTAAAATGTTTGTAATAAGGAATTGTCATAAAATTTTTATGGCCCAAAAAAGTTATTTGTAAGAAAATGATTTGAAGCATTGACAACTTAAAATTTAAAATCAAATAAAACATACGTTTTTTTTAGTTTACTTTATTTTCATTATTGAAAATAATGTAAAAAATAAATAAATAAAAAAATTATTGACAAATAATAAACATGTTCTTTAAACATTTAAATAAAATTATATTGATATGAAAATACGTATAAAAATTTAGTATTGAAATTTTTACTACGAAAATAAAGAAAAATTTAATAGGACATATTAATGTCCGTATAACCATATATGGTTATTATTATTATATATTATTATAATAATCATATTATTATGGTCTAATTAATATATTTTATTCATTAATGTAAACTTTATTATTAATTCAAAAAGTTGATTTAATATTTTGGCTTCTTACAAATATATTAATTGTACTTCGAAAAAAAATATTAATATGATTTAGAACATTTATATAACAATGAATTACTGTCAAATTTGTTTGAATGATATTACATAGTAATCTCAAGAATAAATATTCAAATAAAATGAATATACAATCATTGGAGAGATATAATTATTATTATTTCAACTAATTTACAAAATTTGTTTTAACCAAGAATTATGTTATAGAAATATTTACTAGTGAGCTAGTTTTTAAATTGTATGTATATACATGAGATATTCTCTTTAATTAAAATTTTAATGAATGTTTATTATTATCAAAAAGAAAAATGTTTAACTTTTAAGTTCATTATAAAATTAAAAAATATTAAAATTTTTACTATTTTTTTCATAAAAAAAGTTTACTTGATCCAGTCATAAATGTATTATTTTCAATAGCTAAGTTTTAAATGTTACGATCATAAAATGTTATGATTACTTCATTCTCTAATTATATATTTACTTAACGCTTTTTTAAATCATATTATCAATATTCATATTTCATTATGAATTCACATATATGACGTATAGTATGACGTTAAACTTAAAATATTGAATTTAGATTAAAAATTATCAACCTAAATTTCATGCTGGGTTTTTAAATATTGCGCAATAAATTTATTTGTATATTACCATTTGATAAAATAAAGTACAAAATCATAAAATTGATCAAATTTGAACTCTAAAAAAATAATTTAAACATCAATTTAATTTTGAAAATACAAAGTGATTCATTAACCATAAGACTTTTGTAAAGAACAATATTATTTAATTAAAAAATTCTACAATAATATGGAGTTAAATAAGTTTTGTTCTTATACAACATTTTTTTTTCTATCAAATTATCTAACTTATAAATAGAGGTTACCATTAATGAAAATTTAATATTAGGTTTTTTATCTCTAAAATTAATAAAATAATTTTAATTTCATGATATTGTGGAGTTCTTTGAATCAAACAATATTTTCTTTTGTGATAATTAAAATGTTTCAAAAGTTTCCAAGAAAATGATTGTCTTAATTTTAACGAACCGCCTTGTAGAGTTTAAAATGAAATACTTACCATCCTCTTAGTTCAAAAATAATGTATAAAAATTTTTCAAAATTTTTAATTATTAAAATATTTTTGTGAGAGTAGTTTCTTTAAGATAAGTTTTATAAAATGACATATATTATAAAACCGACATGGTTTTATTAATTCTTCAATGAGTAAAGTCATTAGATTATATATATATATATATGCTAGTTGTTCACATGGTCTACAATTTGTCAAAAGTTTTGCAACACATGTTTCTAAATTTATTTAGTTGTATTTTAATACTAAAATAATAATAATATAAAGAATACACATAAATTAATGTGTTGTGAATGTTCTTTATCATATCAAATTGTATTACTCGACTTTTTTATGGTAAAAAATATTACATACAAATTATTGTAAAATTATATAATTATGTGTTTTTCGAATATTATAATTATTGCAACTATATTTTTCAATGGCATTTTTTAGAGTATTTACTTTGTTATAAAATAAATATTTAATATTAGTTTTGATGCGAAGCTGAGAAAGAATTAGTTTTACTATGATGTGTTTTTTTTTAATTTTTAATATTTATTTTTTTTGTGTTTCTTACCACTCTTTTTCAGCTCTCACCGAACCGATTTCTTTCAACGATACGTCAAAAGATCGCAAATCGTGATCTAGATGAAGATATCACCTTTAAAATTTCAAAAAATTTCCCTCATTCCCCGTAAATAGAGGAATTCTCAAAAAAAGTTACAAATTTAAAAATCGCTAATTTTCCACATTTTTTCAATTTTTTTTACTTAAAACTGCCACAAATTTTTTAAAAATTACCATTTGAATATAATTTTTTTTTTAGATGCATGATGTGTTTACCTATCATTTAGTATATTTTTTCTATAAATCTGATACTTTACTTGCTCACAAAGGGGGATTTAAAATGTTAAATTTTTTCACAAAAAAATAACTTTTTCAACTTAACTTTTGAAAGTTTTCCGGAAAGTCTGACACTTTTATATATATATCTTAAATTAAAGTTAATGTAATATACTTTATTATGGAAAAAAAAAAATTTCGAGTTTTATTTTGTCTTCACGGTGAAAATAATTACCAAATGATATTTTTGTGTGAAAATTCCCGATTTTATATTTTACATTTTTAAATTTATAATGCTATAAATTATTGAAAAATGTATGGATCAATAAAATTTTTTATTAGACATAATATATATTCCTCTTTTATTTGACATACATTTTTTTTTAAATAACACCATTTCCCTGTATATACTGGGTGATTGAAATCTGGTAGGACACTCATTTTCTCAGAAAANAACACCATTTCCCTGTATATACTGGGTGATTGAAATCTGGTAGGACACTCATTTTCTCAGAAAATATTGAGAATTTTAAATTTTATTGTAGAGAAAAAATATCAAGTTCAAAGAACTCTACAATAATATGTAGTCGAACCATTATTTTTTTCGTCCCTTTAAGGATAAAACCCCTTATTTATAATTTTCTTAAATGGGAACCCTTATTTTTAACTTTATAATATAATAGAAAAAAAAATTATAAGAATAATTTTGTTCTTATAATTTTTTTCATCCGATTAACCTTTCGTCCGTTNGCAGAATTGAATGTAATATATATATACAAATTATAAGACATATTGACAAATTACATAATGACAGACAAATAATAATCAATAAGAATAATAACATATTAAAACTATTTACAAAACACTCAAAATACAATGTATGAGAATAACATAAAATAACTAAGAATAAATAAATTAATTAGACTTAAACTATAAAATGGTTTTATTTCTTATTACTAGTGATGCATTTAACTTGAACTTTTCACGATTTATATCAAAAAAATCGATGGAAATGGACACTATATTAGCCATAACTAGGCCGCGAGGAAAAAAATACTGCACCTAAACTCTTACGATAGTGAGGAATAAAAAATAGATCAGATTAAGTAGGTCATAAATAAATAAAACATCAAAGAGTTTTCTTCTTAGATCTAGTGAATCTAAACCAATAGAATCCTGAATAGTACTATATGAATCTTTAGATATATTTGAATTAGATAAGAAAGCTATCCTCTTAAGAAATTTATATTGTACTCGATCAAGGTCTTTTGAATATGTAGAAAGATTTTGAGTCCATATTATAGAGCTAAAATCCAGAGTTGGTCGAACTAGGGAACAGTATAATGTTTTCAAACTGGATGTTTTTTTAAAATCTTGAGTATTTCTGTTAATAAAGTCTAACTTTTTATAGGATTTATTTAATTGTGAGTTGTGATAAAATTTATAAGATAAATTCGATTCAAAATGTACACCTAAATCTTTAATAACAGCTTCTCCGCTTAATTCAATACTATTTAATTTGTAATTGAAAAGTATTGGGTTTTTTGAACGAGTAAATGAAACTACTTTGCACTTATCAATATTTAGAGGAAGGCAATTTTTAATACTCCGCCAAAAAAATTTGTACAATTGTTTTTGTAATACCTCAACATCTGAAAAAGATTTTACTGAGCAAAATAATTCAGCATCATCTGCAGAAAGTAATATATTAACGTCGCTATCTATTAACTGTGGCAAATCATTAATAAAAACTAAGAATAGTAATGTTCCTAAATGCGATCCTTGTGGGACGCCTGATAATACGTGAAAATCAGCAGAAATATGAAAAGATAGTTTTACTGCCTGAGAACGATTTGTTAAAGTATGATGCAATCCATGAAATAAGTGTACCATTAACTCCAAAAGCTCTTAATTTGACTAGCAAAATATCATAATTGACCTTGTCAAAAGCTTTTTGAAAATCCATATATAGTGTGTCAACCTGATAATTTTTATCATTTGAATTCAATAAATACGTTTGATAGGTTAATAGATTTGTTAAAACAGAATGTTTAGGCAAAAAACCATGCTGGTGTAGACTTATATGATTAATTAAAATGTTTGTCAACTTTTTAGTAATAATGGCTTCAAATAATTTAGGAATGAGTGATAATTTTGAGACAGGGTGGTAGTTTCGAATATTACTTTTATCACCAGATTTATAAATAGGAGTAATATAAGATCTTTTTCAAATATTCGATAAATATCCACTAGAAAGCGATAACTTAAATAAATAATGTTGTGGTTTGACTAAAACTGACTTACAAGCCTTTAAAAATGACGATGGGATTCCATCAGGGCCAGTACCTGCATAAACACTTAATGAATCTAACATATCATAAATTTCATATTCTGAAATATGCGAAGAATTTAAATTGAAATTACTCTCAACTAATGAACTATCATATAAATCAATTTTATTAGAATAAACTATATAAACTGAAAGAAATATTTTGCAAATAATTTAGTTGTTTCATTGATATTTTTAGATACAACTATATCAAGATTACTGTATTAGGTATATTTGATCTATTAGTTCTCAAGGACTGGACATAATGTCAAAATGATTTTAGATTTACATTTACACCATTTTCAATTTTTTGTATGTAATTTGCATAAATTTGACTATATAATGATTTGCATTTTTTCCGAAGTTCGGAAAAAAGTTGAATAATCCTGTTGAGAATTTGTTATTTAAAATTTTTTGTGAGCTTCTTTTTTT